GTAGATTAATCTGACTAAAAAATAATGTGTGTTTTCAGAGTTCATGGGCGTTAACGCGTCTCAATGTGTTGCTTCACATATTTGCGTTTGAATAGCGCGTGCTCTCCGTAGGCGTGTCACATTACCACAGATAATCAGCTGAGAGAACGATAATGAGATGGGCTGACACGTCTCTCTTTTTATATAGATGACATAAACGGAGAATAATAATTTTAGTTTTGAATCGGATCATTTAAAAGTACAAACTCAAATGATTTAAAAGATATATTGCTTATGGCTGGGTGAATAGTATTAGCTGAGTTGTGTTGAAGATTAGAGACGTGCTCCAGAAAAAAAGTTCACGGTGACCGAGAGGCAGAACGCACACCCTGTTTATTTTCTTTATTTTACAAAAGCACAATATTTTATTTCGATTGTATGTGGGCACATAAAAAAGTAGACATTTAACAGATTATTTTCTCATATTTCTTAACTCTATATGAACAGAAATGATGGTAGTACTTTAAGTCTATTTTTCTGCTATGTGAAAAAAAACGAGCAAAACGCGCCGGCGCGTTTCTGGTCCCCAGAGGGTTAACATTGTTGGCATGAAAAACACATATAAAAGTACAATACAACACAGAAAGTGCAAACATTTCATTTCAAGTTTAGGATCTATCTATCTATCTATCTATCTATCTATCTATCTATTAGGGATGTGCACGAATATTCGAATTTTCGATCTGTAATTATTATTAAAAAAAATAAAATACTATTAGAATTTTACTTTTTTTCTTTATTTTTTTTCCGCAGTTATAATTAAATGCACTGGGTGGAGCATTTAACAAGTGGATTGTATTTGATCACATAATGTCATTGTCTGCCTCGCGAAGTTTGGAATTACTTGATTATCAAATAGCCTATTACAAAATGGAATTACGTTTAATCAATTATTTATTAATTAAACTGAGTTATCATAATATCACCGACACCACCACAATGAGAAATAACATGAAATCCAAAGAAACAGCAGTCGACTGAGGAAGACTGTGTCCATCACTGCATTAACCACTTCCTTTAAGTTTCGTTGAGGGATACAGAAAACGCAAAGTGCTGTTACTTCACTTTGCACACACACGCGTCTCTGCAACGTCTGTGTCAGCGCAGCGCGTTTTCTCACTCGAGCATGTGGATATTATTGTTTTTGTCAACATGAACGTGAAACAATATAAACACGATAATCATATGCTGACTCGAGTATGTACATTCTGTGTTTTTTTGTGCGTTTTTTCCCCGTTTGCGCTGCTTGAGCTTAAATGCTTTTGTTGTTTATATATTTTTTTTACACACATTGTTTAATGTTTTCAACTAAAAGAAAACCTTAAGATAGGCTAGTTGTGTATATTGCCTAATGTATAAGCTTGTTCAGAAATAATGACAAAAACCTTAAACTTAAAAAAATAACGTATCTCTCGTTAAACGACATTTAAATTTAAACCCAGAAGTCTGTCCCAACCACCGCCGCATTTAGTTTAATCTTAACTTTTTACTTTAGCTACTTTACTAGCTCCCTCCTCTTTCAGTCTGCTCCCTGCTCTGGCTCGTTCTTCATCTTCCCTGTGTTTTCTGGTGGTTCGTTTCCATGATCATTTCTCGCGCTGGTTTCACTGCAAACTGCGCGCAGCCAATGGGCGTATGAAACGTCATCACGTAGTATTACGGCACAGTGTTCATGGGAAATGTAGGAAGTACTGCCAGAGGGATAAATGACCGAGAACAGAGCCATATGGATCACCGGCCAAACTGGCTAGTAAGTTTTTATTAAAGGTTCTCTAAGCGATCCTGGGTGACGTCACTTCTTGTTGACGTTCGAACTATTGTCAAACAAAACGGAGGCTAGCTAGACCCTCCCTCCTCCTCATCCGCACACTAACCCCCCAAACCACACCCCCAAACCCTTCTTGTCGGTCATTGGCTGGAACAGTTTGTTATGTTTTGGGGAGCGGGTCGCTGCAGTTTGTTTTTGGTGCTGTTTGTGAAGCATGGGCTGTCTACAGAGATCGCGTTTCTTTACAGTGTGTTCAGGGGACAGGCAGCCAGCGGATAGTGAGGAGATGTTTGCTGTATGTGACAAAAAATGTTTTGGCCTAAAAAACACATGACATCGCTTAGAGCACCTTTAACACCCGCCAAAATTAATTTTAACCCGCATTTGGCGGGTTGGCGGGTGTTAATTTAGAACCCTGCACGCAGCTACTCTCGCCGATCAGTTACATCCAGCCGCAGCCGATGTCGAACACATCTTTTCTCTCTATGGCTCTGGAGCAGTCGTACTCTTTAGCCAATCAGATTTAAGCTTATCAATCGACCAATCAGTATCACGTGAGGGCGGGCCTATCTGCATGTCACGTCATCAACTTTCGACTAGTTCATCATGGCTGAGCAGAGGTAAGTGCAGTTACTCGTTCATTTCTGTTAACTGAAGTTAAAGAAGCTTGAGATCAGTTGATGCAATAGTTTATGACCTATTAACTGATGTAAGCAAGTGATGTTGTAATCAGATGTCCCATATCGTGTCAAAAATGAAGAAGAATGATGCTTGTTTTCAATGTTTTGTTGTATTTTATCTGTACAGACAGCTCTCACAGCTAAGTTACAGCTAATGAGTGCAAAACAATCATCTGTGGTCAATACCCACCCTAGCTCTCTCAGCACTGGCCTCATCGAGATGTTCTTTAAATGGTGAATAGACCTATTTAAATGAGCACCCAGTGTTTATTTGCCATTTGTGTATGTTGTTAAATTATTGTTAACACTTGTTTCCCTGTATTTTTCAGGATTACTCCCCTTTGGTGTGACATCTGGATAGCAGTCACAAACATCTTAATCCATGTTATTTCTTTATTCTCTTTTATACTTTTTTTTGTATTAATGTCTTAATTGGTAACACTTTACAATAACGTTTCATTAGTTAGCATGAACTAATAATGAACTGTACCTAAACAGCCTTTTTTATTTTTTGTTAATTTCAACATTTACTTATACTTCATTAAAATCTTGTTAACATTAGTTAATGCACTGTAAACTTACAATAAACAGCTGTATTTTTAACTAATGTTAACAAAGATTAACAAACACCACAACAAATGTATTGCTCATGGTTAGTTAATACATTAGCTAATGTTAACTTAGTTATATTACCATATTGTATAGTGTTACCAATATATTCAACATTGTTTTGTGCTGTATTGTCATCTCAGGTTTTTTATTGTCATCTTAAGGTCTCACAGGACAATATTGTGAAGCATAAATTTTACTTTGCCTAATAAAATAGGCAAATCTGATTTTATGCTAATAAGACAAAGTTACTTATCATAGAGAGGCTATTAAGATTATGCGACTAAGATTACTCAGTAAACTCTATTCAAATACCATCACTTAATTTCCCACGTCCTCTGCCTGCACTCTGCACCTCTCGTACTATAGGTTTTTACTATTTTAAATATCAGGACAAAATCTGATATGTCCTAAACTGAACACAATTCATTTGTTCACTTTTCACTTGATGTATTGCACTTAAATTTACATACTTTAAAAGCAAAGTAGACTCTGACTGGATCTCACAACTCTGGAAGAGACGTATATTTCTCTGTACTGAATGTTGTGCTTCATACTTAAGACTGTCAGGTCATGATCTTCATATGTAACAGCCAGGAACATTAATCATGTCATTTTATATATTTTATTCCCAAAGGATTTCGGAAACTTTCAAATTAATAAAACGTGTACATCAAATTGAACCATGTCTTTGAATCTTTTAATTCTGACAAGAACATTTAATAATGCATGCATAGCGGGGCTGTATTCCTAGAGCGTGTACATATAGTCAAATGAGAGAGACAAATGGATACAGTAACAATGCATAACCTCTTGTTGAAACAACTGTCAAAATGGATGGCTTGCAACATGACTGTTTTCAAAGAATTACAGTAGAAATGGTAAGATCACAGTACTGGTTATCTGCAACTTCATACATCATCTGTCTTGGAAATCTGAAACAATAAAACTACATAATATATGATGCTTAAAACAAAATATGTCTCCAATATATGCACGTCATTACATACATTATCATCAGTTGAATGTGTGGTGGACAGGACATGAAAATCCATCAATACTAAAAATAAATGTTTATGTTCACATGTGGACTAAACAGCAGTTAATAAACTATTGCATCAACTGATCTCAAGCTTCTCTAACTTCAGTTAACAGAAATGAACGAGTAACTGCACTTACCTCTGCTCAGCCATGATGAACTAGTCGAAAGCTAATGACGTGCCATGCAGATAGGCCCGCCCTCACGTGATACTGATTGGTCGATTGATAAGCTTAAATCTGATTGGCTAAAGAGTACGACTGCTCTGTTTTACAAGTAAGCGCTGCCAGGAAAGTCTCAAAAATACACACGCATCCAAGGCGATTCGTACGTGAATGACGATTTGCACATTCAAATTCAAGGTCATTCTTGTACATTTTAAACATTCAAAGGTTTTTGTGCACAGTTGTATATCTAAGAATTGTGTTTTGCATTTGTGAAATGTTTTTATGAATATGTAATTTTATTTTGCGCATGTGAATAGCTTTTTGTAAATAAAAAATTTTTTTTCACGCACGTGAATTTTTGTGTGTGTACGTGAATTAGGTTTCACGCATGTGAAATTGTCTACGCACGTGTGAATCATGTTTCTTGCGTGAATTATATTTGAGACTATTCTGCTTCCATAATTAACTGGCTGAGTTAGATGGTGATTAACACTAAACAGTAAAAAATCATTTTGATAAAAAATTAGTTTGAAGGGATACAATTATTGACTATGGGGAGTAACAGATAATAATAAAAAAGTCTGAATTGTTTTTGTGTAAATAAACCCGTCCCGCACAAGTATTTTTTTTAGTATTCGTTTCTCAAAGTTAAATAGTCTGTCAGTAATTATTAATATTTAAAACATCATTTATCTGACCTTTTTATCCGCGACATCTTCATCTACAGGACAGAATCTGTGCTCGGTGTGTTTTCTGGAGTCTCGACACACTAAACACACGGGCTGTTGATCATCCAGACAGAAGAGTTTGAGCTTCTCGTTGTGATCTCTACAGACTCCAGATCCAGATTTCTCTCTTCTCTCCTGTTTAAAACTCTCACACAAGTTCTTCAAAGCCAAATTTACCGGAGGACGATCATTTAATGATGTTGTTCGGCAAACCGGACATTTTTTAAGTGTTTTATTTTCCCAAACCCTCTGAATACAGCTTGAACAAAAACTGTGGCTACACGAAAGAAGGACAGGGTTTATAAAAATGTCACAGCACACCGGACAAGATAAATCCTCCTCAGCAAAAGATCTAGATGCCATTTTTTTAAGTTGCTTAGAAATGAATACCAAAGTAAAGTTTCACTTTCAGTAAAATGTATTCGTGCAGGGTTCCTAAACACTCAGAAATAAGAAAATAATAAACGATAGCCGCGCAAACTCTTCTTTACTCTATTATATGCAACACATGAGTCAACTGACTGCTAAAGTCCGAAAAAACCTGAAAAAACCCGGAACACTCCAGTACCAAAAGTGCGCATGTCTCTTGCCCATCTACGGCAAGCCCCGAGGGGAAACATACATTGCGCACACACACAACAAGCGCCAGTATATCCAGAATAAATGCATCATAACAGAATCCAAGAAAGTCTGTTACATACGTCCCCCCTCACAAGATTATTTCTGAAAAACAACGTCAACTGTCATAAACAATAAATGGCTGTGTATAATGAAACACAAAATAGAGTACAAAGCACATTATTATCATCACAACAACTTGTGTTGCTAACAAGGCAAGCCTATTAATAGAACACAGTTTTTGTTTTTTTTGTTTTTACAGCAACAACAGGCTCTGCAAACAAATTCACACCCACACTCTCCCATACACAGAGGTATACAGTTACTTCAAAAACAAAATCCTTTAAATGGCCAGGAGGTCTACCAACTCTCCCAGTTCCATATAATAGGGCTGGTGACACAAGCCAACATCATGATACAGTTTTGGACGATTGTAAGCTGCCTCACTGTGCATCCGTGCAGAGTTCAGTTTTGTCAGCAATTCGGAAACAAACGCAGCATGTGATGCTGATATCTGAGAGTCAAGAGCATGGGTGGGTAACATCATCGGGGACCCGTGCTTCCTGACCTTGGGTCAAGAAGTAAGGTGTGAAATAGGGATGTCCCGATACCATTTTTTTCTGAACCGATCCGATACTAAGAATTCGGAGTAGGCTATCGACCGATACTCAGCGGTCCGATACCAGCGCAGTTTGAAAAAAAAAAAAAGCAAGTAGAATTTCTATAACTCTGTGTGTTGAACTGATAATCACTCTTTTGTGTGTTAAACACAATCTACTTATACAGACAACTTCATTATAAAGAAAAACAACAAATCAAAAAAAATATGATCATAACCTATGACAAACATTATATTATAAGATTAGTGGATAACTCAATAGTAAATTTTAGTCTAGAAAAATCACAAGTGCACAATAATTGTATAAAATCTGAACATTTAGTGAAAAAAACATTATTAGTGGGGCTGGGGAACAAATAAGAGACACTTAGTGTAACACTAAATCTGGTAAAACGTTGCACAATGCTCTTTTTGTATTGTTGTAATTAAGTACATTCATGAAAAATAAGATAACAAAAAGATAAATTATTTATAGTCTAGGCTACTATAAAATTAAGATTTTTTTTAAATGTATAGCACAGCTGTTTAATGAGGCAGCCACATAGATACGACAGAACAAAAAAAGGCTATTAATAATCTTTCATTGCACAAAAGTATTATGATATGATCATCATGAATAGAACTCTAGGGTTCTTGACTCAATTTTAAAGAACAATTTATTACAAAAAGGTTCAATAAAGCACCTAATCGAACCTGTTACATTTTAAAAAAAATATTCTAAGAGTGTACTACTTCAAATATCTTTCCAAAATGTTGTGAATGTTATTAAACTCACACCAATAATTATTTTATGTGTATTTCTGTCAATGTGAAAATAGTTTTTGATAATTATTGGTATTTGACGATTTAATCAAATGTTTTAAACATTTGACCTTTTTATCTGCGACAGCTTCATCTACAGGACAGAATCTGTGCTCGGTGTGTTTTCTGGAGTCTCGACACACCACACACACGGGCTGTTGATCATCCAGACAGAAGAGTTTGAGCTTCTCGTTGTGATCTCTACAGACTCCAGATCCAGATTTCTCTCTTCTCTCCTGTTGAAAACTCTCACACAAGTTCTTCAAAGCCAAATTTACCGGAGGACGATCATTTGAAGATGTTGTTCGGCAAACCGGACATTCTTTAAGTGTATTATTTTCCCAAACCCTCTGAATACAGCTTGAACAAAAACTGTGGCTACACGACAGAAGAACAGGGTTTATAAAAATGTCATAGCACACCGGACAAGATAAATCCTCCTCAGCAAAAGATCTAGACGCCATTTCAAGTCAGTCTTCAAAGTTTCTCTTTCAGTTAAGTAATTATCTGGTTTAAATAAAAAAAGCTCAGAACTCTCAAAAATGTGCATTAATAATAGTAATAACCATCAGAATAAAAAGGCACGAAGGCGCGGGCGCGAACACTTGCATTTTCCTATCAACAGTGGAAACAACTTCATTTCTGGTCATATAGAAAAGAATAATACATCATTCGCAACTACTTTTATTTGCGCAAACTCACAATAACAAGAAAACGTTGTGCTTTTGTAAAATCAGGCGTACTTTCATGATCTCCGTGAACTTATGGCGATAAATCAATGACAAAAATAACCGAGCGCATAACTGATGCTGGCGTTCAGTTAAGTTTCACAGAAATCAATTCAACAAGTTGTGTCGAAAACTAGCAATTAACAAATAAAATTAGCATCAACATGCACTTTTTGTTTACATAAATATTAAAATAATAACATTAAAAAATGATGGCCAGATTTCAAGAGTGTATTGCACCATGTTATCTACTAACAAGTTCAAAGTTTTGACAAAAAAGTTTTATAAAAAGATAAACCTCACATATTTCAGAATTAAAAATTTTTTTAATAAAAAGAATGAGTCAAAAAAGATAAATTACTGACATTTATAATGCACATTAGCTAGTTCTACTGGACCCAGTGGGCGGTTGTCGGGAGTGAAAGACAATTTATGTAAAACTCAGTGATGGTCAGTATAAGGTATGATAATTGAGTGATGATGACTTTACTGTGAGAATCAATTAAATGATATTGTCTCTACTAGATAAACAACATTTTCACTGACATATTGATCTGATGTTCATCATACAGTAGGCTAAATATTCGAATATATTTAAATCAGAATAGACGTTTAGTTTATACATTTGCTATTGAGATGTTTATAAGAATATTGTTGCAATTGAATTTTTATTTTTTTTAAAGAATAAAGAAATACATAGAAAATAGCATGAACAACTATGGCATTATAAAATCATTAGATTAAAATGCAAAGTAAGATGAAACGGTGTGCATGTGGATAAAAAAAAACAGACAAATCTTTACTGTTAACATATACTAAGATTGATAAAGGTCAAATTACAAATACTATCAATTTATTACAGAACCCTATAGCCCTAAATTCATAATTAACAATTAAAATAGCGTATTTGATTATTGTTTCTCATAGGTTACAGATAACATTGTAATAAATTGTACAAAACACCCAAATTACATCTGAAATTGATTATTGTTACAGATGATAATTTATAAAATCAAAATTTAAAGCTAAATTGAAAAAGAACAATTTATGAGTTACAGGTTTGACTTGAATCATATAAAACTCCTAATAATAATTCAAATATGAAATGGGTATAAATTGATTTCTATTTATTGTGTTAAAATAGAAAAATAGATAACTGGTAAAAAGTGTATATGGTTTTCATCAAACTTCACTTTGATTTTTACAGTGTTTTACTGTAGTAATATAAACTTTGTAATGGTCAGGAATTTGATGATGTACCATTGAAGAGTAGTTGAAATCTTCATGTTGTTTCAGTATTTGTACATCAGTTGCAACATTGATTTAATTATGTTAACATTACATTTAGTTATATTTAGGCATTAAATGAGGCTGCAAACATGATGTTGAACCAACATTATAGTGTAACACTGATTTGATGACATTACCACAGTTTATTTTTTCTTTATCAGATTAATTTGTTCATTTATTTTCTTCACTAAAGGGTCTTATGAAGGGTTCGGTCAAATATTTTGACAATACATTGTATATTTTTGTGTGGTAACCTAAGCAAAGACCTAAGACTTTAAAATGACTTGTTAAAATACATAATATAAAATAATAAAATATAATATAGTATTCGTTACGCCCCACGGCTCAAATGTGACGCAACAAAATTGGGACACGAGAAACACATTTTTAAAGCAAATTATTTATTTGCAGAGAGCACCAAAGGCTTCATGTTTTTACACTTTAAAGCAGACCAAATCCTTGTTTAATTTTTAATTTTGGTTAAAAGATATTTAATTAAAATGTTTAGACCTACTCAATTTTAAATATTTGCCCACTTCTTTCAAAGTGGAGGGGGAGGGGGAAGGGGAAGGGGAGGGGGAGGGGGAGGGGTATGGGACAGGGGGTGGGGAGCGATTTTGTCTGTTTAGTGGGGGTATGTATGTGAATTTGAACTTAGTATTAAGGGCCGGCATAGTGGGAGGGGCCGTCGGCAGTTTCGGAAAGCCTCTTCCATACACTGTTTTGCTGTTCCTTCCACCTATGGGAAAATGCTTATATTCATTATATGCATCACATGAATCATCAGAAAAGAGATGAGATAAGGAAGAACGATTGATGCTGAACTCTGAGGCTGAAGGGAGAGAACAGATACACACTCACACACAAACATTATGACAAATAACCACAGAAATCATTGCTGCGTTCTGGCATACTCACTTTTACCAACATTGTCCTGCATCTTCTGTAAGACACTGAGCTTCAGGTTGGTCAGGTGATCTGTGAAAGTGATCGCCACAGTTGGACTGGGGTCTGGATCTGGAAGATATTGGGCTCTGAAACAACATTCAAGAGTCAGAGATGCTGATGGTTTGAGTTAAAGAAGCACATGACATGAGAAACAAACACAAACCTTTGCAATGTGGCCTCAAAGTTCTGTGCAGAAAAAAAAAGAAAGAAATGGAAATTATTCAGCAAAACTGAGTTTGGCTTAAATCTCTGAAATTGACATTCATATAATTGGAGAATGAAGATGAATTGACACCTGCAGGAATGAAGCATCTTCAGCCTTCATCTGCTCCTCGATGTCTCTGATTGTGATTGTGAGAGATGAAATCTGTTTGCTC